CCCCAAAACCCCAAAACCCCAAAACCCCAAAACCCCGATTTCCAGGGGAGATATTGAAGAATAGATTATAATTTTATTGGAATAAAATGGAGTTCACCGAACCTACTGGTATTTCTTGGCTATCATGGATAGTATCTTTTGCCCAACCGTCAGAGGACTCAAAGAAATGTGTAGCAAAAAGCAAGATCTCAAAGCTTTTGGTACTTTAGAGGCATGACTTATAGTCCAGGATAGAAGTATCCCATATTCTTCCCTATTTCGGGTACCTTAACCAATGAGCTGTCTTGATGAGCTCATTATGCAAAGCAACTGCGAAAATGTGGGAGGAATACTTCAGCCTGATCCTTAAAGTAAGCTTACTAGCTAGCCTTATAGATGGAACAAAAGGATTTCACTGGAGGTTGTCAGGCTTTTGCAGTAATTTCACCTCAAACTATCCTGATTTAGATCCAACGTTTGCCAGCTAAGCTGCAAGCATTCAGATCGACAGCAGGCATCTCGAGGAGCATCACTACTGGATCCCAGAAGGCACTAGTGAAATATTATGAGGTCATTGTTAAAGCAGGGTGCGATGTTGACATTATTAAACTCATCTCCCTTCTTGAGGATATTCGTACCAATTTTGGCCTGAAGTTCAATGACGATGTGGTAAGTTTTCCCCTCCAAAAATAGGTCTTCTCTGAGATCAATATTTTTGACAAAATTAGTGATGGTGGAAACCGAAGGAAAGTGCTGGAAATAGTCAAAGAGACTTATATAAAGAGACTTGTAATTCCTAACACCACTTTCAGCGTAGAGCAGGAAGTTATCCCTCTTAATAGGGTCAGAGAGCTCAGACTGTTCAAAAACTTTATTAGACCAGATATTGACTTCCCTTGTCAAACTTTGAAGGCATGCCCGAATATTGAGATTCTAAATCTTGAGCAAATCCAACTTTCCAAGTATTCTTGTGATAAACTTTAGGGAAAGCTGAGATGTACTGATAGAGTTCATCAACAGTCCCAACAGCCATTTACACACTTTGATTCTCCACCCAGAGGAGAGTAATGCCCTCGGAATCATCAGCAAGATTAGCAGCGAGAATTTGAAAATTGTACGTCAACTTCTCAAAAGTTTAGATCAAGAACTGCATGGACAAGGTATTAACAAAAACTGAGTTAAATAAATCTTTGAACGTTCTTCCCTTTAAACTTCTTGAGGAGACTAAGGATTTGGAGGAGCCTGAGGAGAGCGAACACTTTTACTCAGCGCTTCAGAGAATAGAGTTCACCTACAGCGAGCATTATTATACAAGAATGGCATGATTCACACTCAATCGCATGCAAAACTTGAGATATGTACATCTGCTTAAGGCTGATAATAAGATTATGAAGAAAATACTGTTTGGGCTGCTGAAGTACCTTCCTCAATGTGAGGAAATCATGCTAGAATCCAAGGCATACTTCTTTACAGAGTACCCCAGGATCAGCTTTGGGCTTACCAGCGCTGAAAATCAAGAGAAATCCATTGGAGTTAGTCTGTTGTTTAGAAATTTTGGCTTAGACGATATGCTTTATAGCATCCAATGAGATCACTTTCAGGTAGCTTTTGATTACTCTTTCCTCCAAATGGAGGATTACAAGGAAAATCAAATCGAAATTAACGGCAAGGAATATGCTTGCTTAGTCCATCTGAAGGGCATCAAAAGTATTAAGGATGCTAATTTTCAAGAGAAGTTGCTCTCAGCAGAGGACTATGAAAACCTCTCTTTCGTAGTCTCTCCTCCTGAGAAACTTATCTCTTGTGAGATTATCTCTCTTAGCATAACAGATAGGTTTATCAATTATCTTCACGAAAGAAGTCTTGCTGAAGAAAGGTAAGGTATTTGAATAAGCTATAGCCTGGCAAATTATGGAAATAGCCCTCAACTCAAGATCGGGATATACCTAAGTTGTCACGAATTACCACTTTCAAACTTAGAATTCTATATTAAGCTACTAAAATCACATAAGATCCAAGATCTCTGCTACTCGATGAGGCTGATTCCAAGTGAAAAGTTCTGGTACGACACATGTGACCCTCAAGAAGGAGTTCAGTTCCTTTGGAATGGTGAAACCCTTGAACAGTAAATTTTTGTATTTAATACATAGGTTGCTTGAGCTTGAAATCCGCGTAAAAACATTCAGGATCTACCAATGCCTGGTAGACTTCACTAGCCGCTTAACTGTTATGAAGTTGTATGCCCTGATCCTGAACCAGGTCGAGCATGCCAGCTTTATGAATGAAATATATTTCAATTGTGGGTATCTCAGCTGCAAGGATATTATCAGATTCCTTGAAGTGGTAATTTGGTCCTGAAATCCTGTAGATTCCAAACAAAACTCCTTATGCAGAGAGGTTCATTAGCAAGATCTTTTTCACTGCAACTATGGACCAGACACCTACTAAGAGGCGAGAGATAAATCAGATTCTTCTTTCTCTGATCAACAGTGGTTTTGGGTAATTTTTATAAGCTAATCCTAATAGTTCAGGAGAATTTTTCTCCTCGATAGTTGATCTTAAAGTTGAAATTAACGAACTGTCGTATCCTCTTGCGATTGATGATGTGAAGATGCCAGTATAAGTCGTTATGCTTAAAGGATTTTGAACCTCCTAAATATCTTAATTTACTTGCAGGCCATATGGTTTAATAGTCTGCTATTTATATCAGTGCTTATTCAACCTTTTACCGTTGAAGTGGGGTTTTGGGGTTTTGGGGTTTTGGGGCTTTGGGGTTTTGGGGTTTTGGGG